CTTTTTCTACATGGACTACGTCTCTTGTACAACCGACCTACCTTCAGCCAACTAGCTCCGGTCCCCGCCGTGTCTATCCTGTTTCTATCCCTAATACCAAGTCTATGACTTGCTATGCCCTAGTCTTTTGTTTGCCAACCCACAAACATTGTGGTTCAACATTGAACCTAACCAAAGCGAGCAGTACCATAACATTTGTGGGTTGGCACACAAGAGACTAGGGCATAGCAAGTCATAGACTTGGTATCAGGGATAGAAACAGGATAGACATGGCGGGGACCAGAGCTAGTCCCCGCCAAATTATTCTGGTTTCAATCGTCAATAAATTGGAATACTCTAATCCTAACTGTCTGTGTTTAACCATGTTAATGTAGAAAGAATTTCCAAATCCTTGGTGATATATGTCAACGACTTGGATAATCACATTAAAATTTTTTCCAGAAATCTACCTTGGATATGAAGCATTTAATGTTCTGTAGCTTCTCAACAGACTGGCACTCCACAGTTTTCTTTCAAATATTGTACAAAATAATAACCAATATTAAGGCAATTTTTTCCTTGAAGAGTTTATTAAATGTGAATAATCTCTATTGAAAAATGAAGCTTTTTTAGCTCCTTACATTAGACTATATTCAAAAAGCCTTCCTTTGGGTAGTTAAAGTAAAAAGCTTGAATTGAAGTGTATATTTATCCAATTTTGATATCGTTTGGTCTAGTATCTCTGATAGTGATGTTAAAGAATGTCTTGTCTATTCTCAAAGCTTTTACTAAGCCTATTGCTTGCTTTTATTTAAATCTAATCGCTTTTAGTCACTTGCAGAAAAAGGTTTTCTATCTACATGATGAAAGTTAGATTTTTCTTAACTAACCCATATTCCTATCTTTTAGGTAATCGGTCTCAATTTAATCACATCGGACAGTCCAGGAGCACCTACTGATCCCTCCATCTGGCCAGTGGCAATTGCCTATGCGCGCCGTGTACTTGATTTAGCCCGCCTTTTTGGCCATCCAATACAGCTTCTAGATTTGGGGGACAGCTTATGTGGATGCCGTGTCTGTGCCTGTCCATTGAAATCGATTTGTCCTTCCGATGTAAACGGCTCTCCTTCCACGACCTATTTAAGTGGTAAGCGCTCATTTTTTAAAACTGCATGATAAAGATATTCATAGATCAACCCACCACAATATGAGGGTGGTTTCCTCTCTGCAGTTAATTTTTCATAGGACATTCTGCTTGAAATAGTCCTCAAACACCCTTCTGTTCTGGTGAAAGCTTACTAGGCTTTCATATAAAAGACAGCATCAGACATGGGACGTATTCTTATAAAGACCTAAAACTTAAAACGAATCATGAAAACGATTAGAACAGTATTTCCCTGATAAAATAGCACAAGGTTCGGCGGATATATAAAGGTTCGGTTAGTCTTTTGATCTGTTTATTTATACTTATATATATGAGTCAGTATATGTATATATTTATATATTTGTGGATATACGAAACCACAGTGATAGCCTCAAGTAATAAGAATAAAGCAAAACGTCTGTTCATCGAGTTTTATTATTATTTTATATATAGAACAAGGAGATTCATCATTAGCATTATTCAATGCCGGACATTTTTTTGTTCGACTTGATTAGCTTTCTGAGCATTACTATGAAGGTCGTACTACTTAGAATCGCCATCTTTTTTGAAGTTTGTTAAGCCTTGATTACCTTTTTATTGATGTTTTCAATTCTGTCTTGATTATTTTGATTTTTTACTATGGTTTTTTATTTTGCGTATAGATACACATAAAAACGCTCTGATATAATTCAATAAAGGAAAATATCTTATGGAAATTTGCTATTTCAGCTGGTATCTATCTATCTATCCATATATATATGATTGAATAACTAAATAAAGTAAAAATAAGGCTAAAGTGATGTAAACACTGTTAATAAAATTTCATGAAAATTTTACTCTAAGTCCTAGTGTAACTCAAAATATTGAGATGAAAACTTGCTCTTACTGCATAATTTAATTGTTCTACATATTGCAAAATTGTTCAATTACTTGATCCCTATGAAACCGCTGGGAATTAAAATAGAGATTCCATTATATATGTAGAAAAACTGGGTTTCGAAAAATCCTTTAATAAGTTGATGTTAGTGTACTTTTCATTATGTTTGAAGAGTCGAATGGAGGGGTTTCTAAAGTTGGCTTAACAGGAAGTTGAAAAAGCACTGCCTCCGAGCTGTGACTGTCAATAGTTCCTCGGCGCACAGCCTTACGATCCCGAAAAATCCTTGCTGAGCTTTAGTCCTTAGTGTGACGGATATCGTCAGAGTAGGAAAACATGCCTTATGGTAATTCACCAAAAAACAAAAACAATAAAGGTGGCTGACTGCAAATATACCTGCTTATAGCTAATTTTGTCCAATTAATGAGACACCCTACGATTTGGTTGGATATCCTATACTTTCCCTAAATTTTTGATGAAAAGTGACGTGGCTCAGGAGGAGATTTGAGTTTTTACTGAGTTAATTTATGTAAAAATTCCTGTAGACGATGCCACACAGGTCCATATGCGGAGATTTTAAGGAGTAGGAAGCTGAGTAGTGTCAATAATGGTAGACTTAAACCTTGCGCTGCGCTGTATATATTGTACCTTTGCAAATAAACAAGAGGTTTAACTATGAGATCGTGTTTGCCGCCAATTTTAGCAGATAATTACATGGCTAACATTGAGAAACACTATTTTGATGGCTAAATTATTTGCTTGCTATATGGATTACTAATTTTCCCTTTGGTAGCATGGCACAGGAAGATGGAATTCACAATAAAGTTGGAAAGAATGGTAATGTACCTTTTTTAGCTATCCTAATTAGCAAAGAACGAACCAAATTAGGTAGACATATGTATTAGGAACTTTTGAATTTCTTTCCAAATCACACTTACGGGGTTAAAGTAGGATTTATGAAGTTATTAATACTTTGGAGTCTGCGACTGACAGATTATAATAATCAGTACTAGTAATTAAGATGATTAAGGAGAATTCTGGTCAATAGCAATTATCCACAATTATTCATTTACACCATATATGATGCTTATGCTGCCATCATACAATCTTTCTTGAAGATAATCAAATAACTGAGGAAGCGGGATATTGGGACTATTTATAAGGTAAAAATATCACACTCTACTGTAATGCCTTCTTTTCTAGAATATACTGACCCTTTCTCTTGATCGGGCTGTTACAACATTTTGTGTTTATGCGGTTGTGCCTATTTGGAAGAGATCTGCAAGCATATACATCAGAGATTTTCTGAAAACAAAACAGTCTACTAGAATTTGTGGGTCCAAAAATCAGAATTGGCCAAACACATGGCTCGCACAGGACACCAGATAGATTGGTCTAATTCTAAACGCTTAACTGGGCATGTGGACTATGTCAGTAAACGGAAAATTAGGGAGGCTATAAAAAGCAAAAAAAAACGGTCAACACCTTGAATAGAATTTATGCGTGTAAGAAGTTAAGTGGAAGCTACTTGTGGCAGTTGGATAGAATTAGAGAGGAAACGGGGAAGACCACCGAACAATAGGAGGCTTGTTTAGATTCGAATCTGGTTTTTACTTTCACATTCAAAAACAATGCATTCACACAGCACGCGTGCAATTGAATGCAATCACATGCGGTAATATTGCAGGATGACAAATATAAGTGTTTTAGGGGAGGATTTAGCTTTTCGGTCACAATTGCATCCGTTTCACGCTTCATCTGCAACCACTCCACATGTCATATGCAGCCACTTAACTTTTCAACAAACATTTGGGAAAAGCATAGGATATTCACCAAATCATGAGATGTTAGAATTAGCCTGCTTGAAAGTGGTTAGGCGAAAATATAAAGAGAATATAAAGGTGAACTGGGAATGAAAATAGCAAGCATCCTATAATCATTTTACTCAAATCGATTATTCATTCACAATATTCCTATGTATATAAAGGAAGTGCTTTGGAGTTGTCAATGTTGCTTTCTGGTGCATCGTATCTTTTTATAGTCCATGTCTGTCATGCGACAGACGTAACAACTGGAAGCTATTCTTTAGACATAATCATCCAACATTTCACAAGGAATCTTTGCTTCCACCTAACTTTGGAAATGAAATAAAAGGTCATATGAGAATGCTCTGCAATACTTCGCAGACCAAGTAATCTGCGCGTAATACTTGTGAGGAAAACTGTTGCCATCAGACTACACAAGCTAAAGATTCGTTTTCAAGAAAAATGCATACCCCTGAATTCCTTTATCTACACATATCTGCCATCGTCCAGATTCAACTTTTTGATTATATAACTTTCGTTTATTGGCATTTTAAAAATATCTCATACGCAAATGGTTGAATCTAGCCCGTATTACATTGAATAATTTGTACTTAAGATTTTTTTCTTTAAAGCTTAAGAGATTGCTTGTTTAGCTAATTTCTGCAGATATAAGTGTAATTTTAAACCGAAATTTCAATCTAAAGAAGTTTTTATCAAGGTGGCCGAGGACTAGTGAAAAAGCAGGTTTAAAAATGGGCTGAAGTAGTCCAATATATGGTCTTCTAAGTTACATTCGTTTGATAACAAAATATTAGTTTTGCATAAAATGATTACCTCGATTTGGAAGTCCCCAGACAAAATATATGCCTTTAAGTTTTGGTTCGACCTCGTTTTTGCAACTTGATCGGAGCGTCAGAGAGACCTTGTGGAACGTAACTAATCCTGTATCCTATGTCATAGTATTCGGGATTTCCAGCATTGGATCATTGATTTGAACATTTCTTGACCTTTCGACCAATTTTCGAAAACGAGGTAGAACAAAGACTACAAAACTAAAATTGAATGCGACTAAACAGAAGGCCACACCATTTTGATATTCGTATCTACGATATATGTCTTTAAGTTATTACTTTACTCGAATACCTATTTCCTCCGATTCCATACCATGTAACAAATTATAGATTTATATGCTTATTTTGTCTACCTTTTTTACCATCACTAGTATTTTTATCTTTAAAAATGTATTCTTGTTTTATATGGTTTATTCAGTTTAGATTTCTTTGTGCAATTTTCTTTTTCTCATTCAAATATTCCCTTTTTTCTAATTTTACTTTGCAGCATAGTATTTTTTCAAAAATTCATTCTGATTTCTAGTTAACATCCTGTCCTCACAATCTTTCGTGTCCCCATTAATTTTTCGGGTCAAACCTGGGTCGTTTGTGGACATTTATTAATCGACATGTGACTTCTGCTTCAGCTGAGCTTTTATATTTAGTCATGGGACTTGTAGACTTGATTTTGCATTGTCTCAATAACCTCTACTGGCTCTTCTAATTTTGGTTGATTTTTGACCGTATTATTTTTCACTTAGATTCATGCTTAAGCGTATTTATAAATAATTCATAATTTATCTTTTAGGATGCGTCATATTCGACTCTGATATAAAGTCAAATTAATTTTCTAACCTTACTATATTCCCTCAGACAGCATGCCTCTTAATTTACTTCTTTGTGATCCTTCATATTTTCATCATCATGATCCTGATCTTATTTCAATTCATATTCTCCTAGTGTCTGCCCAATCTTATATTTTTACCTATAAAGTATCCGTAATTTTTTTTTGGAGCACAACTTCGGACTTGTCTGCTCAATTTGGTCAATTGGAAAAGCACATTTATCCTCATATTAGTTTACTTGTAAATCTTACTACCTGGCTAATATTTTATAAAGTGGGGACTGCACAAGATCATACTCTGAGGATGACAGGCAAAAGCTCATCATAGATTCCTCTTAGTTGGTAGTAGGCCGAGTCGAAGTCATCTTTGCACAACTCAGCAGTCACAAATCCAAGGAAATCTTTTGGTGTACAATAAGGCTAATTTACGTATTATTTCAGCACGCCTTCTCAAACGAAATGAAACTTTCGCCAAAATTAATATATTAGGGGATTCTTCGCAACCTAGCTTCTCCATATTTTTTGATTAGCTACTCTGTCAAATAGAGCAACAAATCTCTCCGACTTAAAAGCGATTGCATCATCACATTATTTTATAGCGACCTGATCTAGACAGCGGGTCAACTTTCTCTCTAAAACTTGTGGCTTAACCGAAGTAAGTGTCATATTACTTGAA